TGCCCTCCACTCAAACCCACTCACGCTCTTGCACATAGTTTTTAAGACCTAGACAAGGATGCCTAACTTTCCATTAGTGACCATTAGTTCATAGCTGCAATCGAACAAGGGGAATAAACTATGTCACTAAACAACACATTCAAACCAAGGAGCCTGCAAATTTCCAACTTATGGGTCACAGGACAGCAGAGCTGCAAAAGGGAGCCAAAGACAAGGATCTTGGCCACGCTGCTGGCATCCACAGGAGAAAGGAAGGCTACATAACCCCTAAGAGGATGCCTTTCCAACATACACCATTCTTATAATTGGTAAGCAGCTTGTAGACAACACCGGCTTAGACAACAATGGTAGTGTGAACAACCATTTAAAATGTTTTGAAGGTTGTGTAAGAATTTCCTACTCATTGAAAATGGTGTCATTAAAACCACCTTAAATAACGATATCATATCTGTGGGTCTAAGAACTCTTCTACCTGTCTTGTTTGCTGAATAAATAAGCATTTAGATTCCACAGCAGTGTGAATTACAATTGTGACATTGACTCTCTAAAGATAAAAAGAAAGCGCAGAAGTTAGCCCAAGGCATTTACTAAAAATCAGTCATATGCATTTTGGGTGGTTTTTCATACCCAGTTTCAAACAAACCTTAAGATGTTTGCTCTGGAATTTTCTGCTTGATATCAACCCTCCTTATGGCTAACGCAGCCTGGGACAGCTCTTAACCAAACACCCTGTGCAGCTCTCCCATGTGCACAGCAGGTATGAAGCTGCCTGGTGTTCAGTCCCATCTCAGAGTGGGACCTCAGTTGGAGCCCTGTGCCCCAGGAAATGCATAGGATTTGGCACAGAGCCTGAAGCACTTTGTTTTCCTGTGTGCAGACAACACAGCCATAGGTATAAATATTGTCTTAAGGTGTGTATTTCCAGCTTTAAGAGGAAGGTTTCGATGTTTCACAAACCATACAACTGCACCTCTCCTTCTTCTGATCCTCCTCACGTCCCCCTTCACGCACACATACATACATGTGTCAGCCATTTGTTCCCATGGATTTAGCCTAGTTTGGATCAAAGCTTCCTCTACTTCATTTACCAGATTTGCTCAGATGGAAGGTCTCAGGGGAGAAATAATGTTAGTAAGAAGGGGGTTTTCAGCATTGAGTATGTAGGTCATTGGACTTTAAAATAAATTAGAGAATAGTTTATCTATTAAACAAGCTTTGCAGTACATATTTCATGAAGCTATACTTAATTATAGGCTAATGTGCACCACAGAGCTACCATGAAGAAAGATTAGGCAGTGGCCCATAATGCAGCGATTAATACAATTATTAGCTGGCTGGCATACAGCATCTATTATTTGGTACCATCACGAGAAACAACAGACCTCCAGTTTCTGAAATGCAACAAACCCAAACATTTCCAGAGAGAAACACACATCTCTCTGCACCTCCCGAGGAAAGGCTTCTTGGAGGCAGCAGGGGGTGAAAGCAGACTTGAACTTCCACTTCAAGTGCCTTTTACAGAGTTTTTTTCTCCACCAAGGGTGTGTGGAAACATCCCACATCTTCTACTGTGCAGTGCAAGGCTGACTGTCTTCTTGATACCTCCAACAGTCTCTGATGCGAGGGGAGATTGATTTGAGTTGGAATTAAAAGCTGAGGACAGGGAAGCATAAATATGTACCTACACTCTTTTGCAAGAGCTCCTAGGGACATATGTAAGACCCACTAGTCTTCTATATTAAGGCCCTGTAGACTAATGAAACACAGCTGTGACACGAACAAGTCTTTTATGGATGTTTAAGACTTGCCTGTTCTGGAATCACGGTCACAGACTGTATAGTACATCATATTACTTATGATGGAGGGTTAAGAAATAGGTAATTTCTTTCCTTTTATATGAAAATATGTGTCTGATATCTTATAATGAAGTGATAAGAAAAAAAATCTATGCCAGACCATTGCAGGAGGTGTAAACAGGAAAAAAAAAAAAAAAGGGCGGGGAAAGAAACAACAAAACACCCCTATCTCCAAACCAAACTGCAGCTGACTTGGTCCAGATTTCAGATTATCTGCCAAGAGTGTGGCGCAATCTCTACTGTGGCTGCTAATAACCACCACAGGCAGATGCAGTGCTGTGCCACCACTAGGAAAATGCCAGAGCAGTCTCTCTCACATGTTTGCCCTTTCCCTGCTTGTCCTGGAAAGTCCATCTGCAATGTCTGGTCAGCAATATTCACACTCAAAGGGTTGTGGTCAATGGCTCAATGTCTAAGTGGAAGCCAGTGACACGTGGTGCTCCTCAGGGGCCGGTATTGGGACTGGTGGCGTTTAACATCTTTGTCGGAGACATGGACAGTGGGATTGAGTGCACCCTCACCAAGTTTGCTGATGACACTGAGCTGTGTGGAGCAGTCAACACGCTGGAGGGAAAGGATGCCATCCAGAGGGACCTGGACAGGCTTAAGTGGTGGGCCCATGTCAGCCTCATAAAGTTCAACCAGGCCAAGTGCAAGGTCCTGCACCTGGGACATGGCAATCCCAGGTACAAATACAGGCTGGGCAGAGAATGGACTGCAAGCAGCCCTGAGAAGAACAACTTGGGCATGTGAATTCATGAGAAGCTCAACATGAGCCAGCAATGTGTGCTTGCAGCCCAGAAAGCCAACCACATCCTGGGCTGCATGAAAAGAAGTGTGGCCAGCAGGTTGAGGGAGCTGATTCTGCCCCTCTGCTCTGGTGAGACCCCACCAGGCCTACCGCATCCAGCTTTGGAGTCCTCAGCACAGGAAGGACATAGATCTGTTGGAACAAGTCCAGAGGGGGTCACGAAGATGATCAGAGGGCTGGGACATCTATACAAATACAGGCTGGGCAGAGAATGGACTGCAAGCAGCCCTGAGAAGAACAACTTGGGCATGTGAATTCATGAGAAGCTCAACATGAGCCAGCAATGTGTGCTTGCAGCCCAGAAAGCCAACCACATCCTGGGCTGCATGAAAAGAAGTGTGGCCAGCAGGTTGAGGGAGCTGATTCTGCCCCTCTGCTCTGGTGAGACCCCACCAGGCCTACCGCATCCAGCTTTGGAGTCCTCAGCACAGGAAGGACATAGATCTGTTGGAACAAGTCCAGAGGGGGTCACGAAGATGATCAGAGGGCTGGGACATCTATGCTGTGAGGACAGGCTGAGAAAGTTGGGGTTGTTCAGCCTGGAGAAGAGAAGGCAGCAGGGAGATCTTACAGAGGCCTTCCAATACCTAAAGGAGGCCTACAGGAGAGATGGGGAGGGAGTGTAGCGACAGGATGAGGGGTAACGTATTTAAACTGAAAGAGGGGAGATTTAGAATGAACAAATTATTTCCTGTGAGGATGGTGAGACACTGGAACATGTTGCCCAGGGAAGCTGTGGATGTCCCATCCCTGGAATTGTTCAAGGCCAGGCTAGATGGGGCTTTGAACAATGTAGTCTAGTCATAGGTGTCCCTGCCCAGGGCAGGAGGGTTGGAACTGGATGATCTTTAAGGTCCTTTCCAACCCGAATCATTCTATGATTCTATATGCAAGGCCTAGGGTTTCTTAGACACCGAATCAAAACCTTCTCTCCTTTTAAATACTAGAGCAGAATTGTAAATTTAACACACAAGCTGTCTGGCAGCTTTCTCACTGGGAGATGAGCTTTTGGTTTAATAGCAGGCTTTGGTGTTACCAACCCAGCCCTCCCAATCTGGCTAAAGCAGAGCTTCACGCTCCGAGACAGTGGCAAAACCCTCACCAGCCACATTACTCCTGACCTCTCGCTCAAGTTCAGAATATGTCATTCTGTCAATGCCATCTACCTTGATTATACCAGGCTTTATATACAACGGGTTATGATCCCAGAGGGATGAAAAGCTTTTCCAAATTAAAAGCAGCATTTTAAAGAGGAAATACTCATACATTCCTATGTAGTTTTCATTTGATATCCTCAAGGCTAACCCCAGAACTCAAAGTCATGTTGATTGGAAGTGAATGTTTTTTCTGAGTGCAGCCATCTTATGAATTTAATGGAAGAAGGGAAGTAATAAAAATGTGCTCCATACTTTAATTAGTTCCCTCATAACATGGCATTTCCAAAATGGCAGTGCCAAAGAAAATCATTAATCCAGGAGAACAGACAAAGGCACTGTATGGGACAAGGGACAGACCTCCAGGAGACACACACACACGTGGCCCTTGTTTTCTCTTGCTGGTAAAGCTTACCTCAAAGAGCAACTCTGATTGCATAAAAGAAATCTGTACCAATATTAAATATGAGGCCACTTTCCATTTCTTTAGCCTTGTTACAGAGTATCCCATTGAGACATCATACTTTGAATGCCTAAAATGGTACCTGGCAGCAACATAAATGTACGCAGCCCGTTTTTCTAAACACGCATTCACCCTGGGTACTCCAGGTGCTGGGCTCAAGCTGACGCTGTCATGCGATGATTTCCACACCTGCATTTCACTATGCGAGTGAGAAAACCGGTGTCAGATGTATGAAAGCAAACAGGATCTGCTGCAAATGGCAGACATCTTTCCCACCAGTCAGTCCTTAGGCCACATGCACTTGTCGTACACGTTTCTTGTGGCATTAGCTGTGCCACAGGGACAAACCAAGGAAGCAACAGAAGCCCAAAGACACTTCTGGCGCTCAGTCTCTTGCTACCTCTTCTTTACCATCAGGCAGGGGCAGATACGGAAGTTTATAACCACGGAGAGGAACTCAGGGAAGAATTCATACAAGCAGAATTACTGCTAGAGAACAAAGCTCAGGGGTGATCAAATGCAAAATAACCCCAGTTGTTCCAGGAAGAAACAGTTTTGTTCGATCGCAACAAAGAGACTGGGGGAAAAAAGGGAGGGTGGTTTGACCTGTTTCTGTGGCACACCTCCTGCCTTGATCTGCAACAACCATACAGCCCCCACAAGAGCCACAACTTTGCCCCCTCAGCCCTCCTTGGTTATAGAACAGAAATTGATACCTGTGTGCGGTTGAATGCTACTCTTGCAAAGACAGCTTGAGACACACTGGCTCTCTTCAGCTCGTCTCTGACTTGCTGGTAAATATCTGGAGAGACTTCCACCGATGAATTTGATGGTTCTGGTTTGACAGCTCTAGGAATGGGTGGATGATTCAAGAACTGCTGGTTGATAGCTTGTGGGTGCTGGTGAGCCAATAGCCGGCTGACAGCAATCTGTTGGTTTATCAGATGGGCCATTGCTATCTGCTGCCTCACCAGTTGTGGACTGAGCTGAGGAGACAGGAGCCCAGGGTTTATCATTGTCTGCATCGTTGGCACTTGGTTTCGGATTGGAGTACTGTGATGAATTTGGCCATGAGGAGACTGTTCGTTAGTTTTTCCCAAGGTTGCCAGCTGGTTGATATTTGGTAAGTGCATGGGACGCTGACCAAGAACACAATAGTCTGAAAGGTTTTCTCTTTCCACTCTTTCCACTGTTAAAAGAAAAAAAAAAATAGTTTGCTGTCATTTCAGTTTGCACTTAGGACTGTTAGAGTAAGGGTTATTGCAGGTGACTGTACACAACAGCACCTGCTTTAATTTGCAAATCTCCACTTGCATAAAAGCTTCACAGAAACATAAGCAAAAGCAGCACAAAGTAAAAGCAACAACAATAATTAACATTCTTTCAGACTCCTCAGGCTTCACCCACTGCTCAGGAAGCCTCCTTATCAAATCAGTACCAGGTAACCTCTCCAGCCTCACTTCCTAAAGAAACAAGCTTGGACACTTCCACTCACACTGTCACTACCTTTTGAATCTGTCACTAAATTGAGTAACTTTTATTTAAAAGGGGTGAATGTTTCAGAATCACTGGCATCTAGGTGAAGGAAAGAAAGTCAAAACAGTATCCACTTAAACAAGTGGAATGGAAACCATTCCCTGCAGACCATTCCCGGCGCAGCTCATGGAACAGCTGCTCATTACAAACTCTGAAACAGTTATCTTTTCCAACATAAACTCTACTTTATGCTGTTGTCTGTGGACAAAGTTATCTGGTAACGTGAATCCACCCTGATGCACTACAGCAGAATCAGGCTGCTTGTGTGACAGCATGCTACAAAACCATGCCATTCACACAGGAGAAAACTCCTATATCCAAAGCCTCACCGCTGTAAGTCTCTCCAGAAACCTTAAAGCATGTCTGCATGAATGCCCACTTTAAAGAAAGTGGCCTCACTCTTTAAAAAAAAGTTCTGTTTAGCACAAGATCTGTGATCATTAAGTGACATCCTACTACAAAGAATTAAACAACACAAACCAAATGCATATATATTGTAATTTTATATGCAGGTACATATTGTCCCTTTTGAATATCTTACCCCAGCAATACTGCAATATCTTTTCATGGAACTGCAAAACTAAATGTGCATGTTACAGAGCTAAATTTCCTCTAGAAGTAGTATTTGAAATAGGAAATTAAGTTTTACAGCACATACATATAACTACTAGATAAATTATATAACTATTAGATATATATATTAGATAATTTTAAGTTATCAGAAGTCATTTTACAGTAGCTTGCAGATTCCACGAGCCTCACTACATGCAATTGGATAGGCATTTATATATCGATCGGATAGAAAAGCGTTCAGGGACGCATATCATACAACTAGAAGGCTCCTATCTCACCCTTGTATTGCTCTCAGCAAGTAACAAGATAGGATTTATTTCAGAAACGTCATAATACTATTATAACTTGTGTAATGATTAACAAGTGTACAAGGCTTTGAACTCTTTTTTAAAACTTAATCTATATAAAGCTCTGAAGCTTTACACAGTTAATACTCAGGATGACAGTTTACTGATGACTTTCTCTGTTTCCTTCTAAATAGAAAGACAGCTCTTTTCACCTTCCACAGTTAATCTCAGACAGAGAGGGTTGAATTCTCACTGGGGAGGGAGTCATGCCCTGAACACGAACACACACACACACACACACAGAGTTGCTATCTTTAGATCTGTCATTCTGGAACATCACAAATACTGAATTTTACAACTCCGTGAATTAGTACCCAGGATTTTCTTGTAAGAAATTTTAACTCGCTCTTCCCATTCTTTTAAAGAAAAAACCCACAAAATTTTAAACTTTCTGTGAAATAATTGCTTTTAAAAGCCTTTTAAAATGAAAATTCAGCGTTTCTAAGAAAAATCTTAATTCCGTTTTTCCACAAAAGTCAGTGTTTGAACCCAGTTTTCTAAATAAGTGCTTATTTGTGCAGTATATTTCAACTATGAAATGCAATGTAATACATGCAATACACAAACACAATTGTGAGAAAATGACCATTTTGCTATGTTACTCTCAGCCTTATGTCAGAGACATAACGCAGTATTTCAGTTCGCTGACAATACTCAAAATCCCTACTCAGATGCCCCTCCTCGTGATGTCAGTCGGGCTCCCTGAAGATCAGGTACAGAAGGCTCTATACCACTAGTCTCTGGCTTTAGGAACAGACATGAAATCACTCTGAAGTATGAAATACACCACGGATGAAGCTGGCGTGGATATAGAGATGTCAAGGGTGAGCAGGAGAGCCAAGAAGAGGGACTGCTTTATGATAGCCCCAGACCATGTTTTGTGATGCGGAGGATTCGGAGCCCAGATGGTCATTCTAACTATTCCCTCCTGCAGTAACCTCCCTCTCTGCAGTAAGCCTGCACCTGAGTAATGCCATTAAATACCCAACTGCCAGCAACACCAAATGTAATCACTCCAAAGGTGCATTAGCTACTTGGCAATCAGGAATTAATCTGATGTAAATAGAATAAAGATGTTGCTCAGTGCACACAAAATACTTGAAGCATCCTGCTAAAAGAAAACACACTAAGAACTACTTTTGGTCTTCATTTAAATCTAGAGTCCCTCCACTAAGAGTTTCAGAAGAGCTGAAATAAGTTCTGAACTATTTTGTAGTTTAAGAAATACACAGAGAATAAGTCACTGAAACCAACAAATTACTACTTGTTAGAACACAAAAACAGTAACCAAGTGTTTTTAAAAACTTGGTGAGAAATAAATATAAATAACATTCAGTTTCTGGGCTGAACCACATTTGCCAAGTTTCCACCCACTCCTGACTTTAGTGCCAAGTTATAAACCCCCTATAAAAATAAAGTTTAAGATGAAAAGGCTGCCAGGCTGTTAATCTTTGCAGTGCTACTTGGAATTACAATTACACAGAGACATCACCTGACTTACTTCCATAGGTGTATTTTTCCCTTACTATCAGTTTCCTTTTTCGACCATGTAAGACTAAAGAGCCATGCATACACTCCCAATAAACAGCCCGGATTCTAGTCACTTCAACCACTTCAATAATAAAAGGTTACCATTAACAGTTACGCTGGATGGAAAAAATGTGCATTACTCAACTCCTCAAGACTCTTTCCTTCTCTAACACATTGCCCGTATCAGATTCCCAGTTGTTCTTTGGTAACTGTGGACTGGTAGGGCTCTGCGGGGCTGGACAGGAGTGAGCCTGAGACATCTCCGAGATTGAGACTGGCACTGCCCTGGGAGACAGGATGGCTTGCTGGCAATGCTCTAAGAAAACAGGTATACAGGAGCCATAACTCTGCTGTGACATCAACATTCTGCCTCAGATCTTCCTGAGATGGGGTCTTTCCATCGCATCCTCCATTTTCCATGTTCCTACCCTATTACAGTCTTCCCTTCTTCTCTTGTTTGCTATTGCTCCACTCAAACCAGGGATATATTTACAGCTTTTGTAGTCCTGTATGAACTGGCTAGTACTTGAATACATTTGAATACAAAGCAGTGAAGATAGAGCACCAGGACCTTTAACTAGGAAGGAAGGGGTTCCATGGACATATGCTTCCTATGTTCAACCAGTGCTGACAAAATTCCTCTGCTAGTGATGCCTGTGCTAGTTAAACAAAAGCTGGTCCAGGCAGATATTACCCACCTCCATCTCTGGTGTGATCACAGCAAAAGACAGAAGCATTTCCCTTTTCTCCCTGCATCCCACTGCCTGGTACACGACTCTGCAGCTCTTTGCTTGAAGAACTTTTTTAAACCAAGTACAACATTACTGCCGTATTCCAGAGTCACCCACCCTTCTGAGGCCATACATTAACTAGGCAGATTCAAGGTGTCTGGACAACAGGTACTGTGCCAAGCTCAGCAAGCAGCTCTTGGAGGACTCCAGGATAGCATCTGCCCTTCATTTTGCTATACACGCCTACAACATGTCACTACCTCTACAGGACAGTCAGAAAGCAACATAATCCCCAGAATGGGAGCAGCAAATTGTCATATTTCAATGTTCCTTTCTCTTCTTATAATGATTACCACGTGTGTCAATGTATTTCAACTCCATACTGAGTTAGAAACTTCCTGGACACAGCACAAAAGCAACCCAGTGCACCCTTCCCCTGTGTGATGCTCTTAACCCCTACCCAAATCTTCCTTGCGCAGTCAAGCGGCTGACGCAGTCCACAGCACAATAGCTTGGGGTGGTCCGCATGCAACTTTCCATTTGAAATAAAACCAGCTTAAAAGATTTAAAATAAGATTTATTTCTCCACCTTCCCTTCCCCTCACCCTCTATTTTCACTGAGTTGTTAATAGGAACATTCTGACAAACAGCCTGTGGGGCATTTGGGGCTTATGAGCGGCAGTGAATTGACTGACAGGGCTGGAAAGGAAATTCCTCTGCACAGCAATGGATGCAGCAGGGCGAGGAAGAGCGTAACACGTCCCCCAGCACAGTGCTGCAGCGGGGACACGGAGGACCCTCCAGCACCCATGACCCAGCGAGTCCTGAACTGTTCAGTCCCACAGGCGTATGGGCACTTTGCCCCAGAACAGGAAGAGGCTGGTAAAGAAACTTTTTGTAATAAGTTACTAGGCGGCAGAATTGCCATGCTTCAATTGTGACAGGATGTCACCACCCAGGGCTGTTCTCCAGCACTTCAGAGCTCGCTTCTTTGTTTTATATTATTATTTAAAACCTGGTGATCATAAAGGCCATAACCAGCAGTGGTCATGGCCAAGCAGGGAGAGCTCTGTGAATTCTAGTGTGGCCTGCATTCAGCTTGAGACAGAAAGGTTCCCACAGTTTCTCCTGGCTTAGCACCATCCTACTCACTGGAGCAAGACTTGAACTTTGGAGCTGGGCTTGGGGGACAAAGCGCTCTCCGGCACGGTACCACCCTCCTTCTTGGAGAGACAGGGCTGCTGCACTGCACCCAGAGGATGCCCTCTTGCTTATCCTACCCAATTACGAACCACCACTTTGTAAATAACAGAACCACTCCAGAGCACAGGAGGTGCTTTTAAAGTGGTAATTCTGTATCTTTTCATCTATAATTAGGATAATTACTTATTTCTTTTAATCACAGCCCACTTAACCACTTCAGTGCAAAGAGCTAGTCTGAGGAGTCTCAATTTCGTTCAGCATCTAATCTT